GCCATTTTCCTTCAGAATTGATGTGTCGCTTGCCAAAATTTTTGAATTTTGGGTTTAGGCCCTTTAGGCCCTTTGAGGCACGGGTTAAAATTTTTTTAAAATTTTTTCCTTTTAGGGGGTTCATTTAGAGACTACATAGAAACTTTTTAGGGGTTGACCAACTTGATTTTCGCAAAACTCAAAAATAAGACACACCCTAAAGTGTAGTGCTACTGATCTGAGCACTTGCCATTTTTACCAGGGTTGTTTTTGAATTCATCACTTTGCCTCCAGGAAGTCCCCTAAGCACTGGCAGCGGCAAGTGACTGGGGGTCCAGGTCCAGGGTACGACTTAACAAGTAAGTTTCTACTTATTTTGTGAACTTAGATTCTCCTCCAATTCCTCTCATCTAAGAAAAAAATATTAAAATTATATGTTTCATTCAACCCGAAATTTCCATTCCTGATAGAGAATCGCAAATATACCGTTAACATGCAGTTTCATGTGTGCATTAATAATTTCTTTAAATTTCTCTGATTACAAAAAAAATTGTAAAAATTGTAAAAACTCAACTGACACAAATACATTGGCATGTTATAATTATTTACACAGTACATCTGAAGTTTAGGTCATATGGATCTCTGAAATTTTCGGATTGAGCATCTGAACACTTAAGGCCCAGCTGCTGAGGTTTGGATCACACATCTGAAACTTCAGTTCTTACATCTGAAGTACTTCGGTTTTCACATCCGAAAAACTTCGGTTCTCACATCTGAAGTACTTCAGATGTAAGAACTGAAGTTTCAGATGTGTGATCCGAACCTCGACAGCTAGACATAAAGTGTTCAGATGCTCATTCCGAAAACTTCGGAGATCCATATGACCTGAACTTCGGGTCCCACGCACGAGGTTTTTTTCTCCGTGTGATATAGAAAGTACTCCTATAATTCAATCATAGCAAAGGAAACTGCTTTTAAACATACTTCTGACTCGTATCATAGTGTTTACAAAGAACTTTTGACTCATCTCATAAATTTGCAAAGAACTTTTGACTTAGCTCATAAACTTGCAAAGAACTTGAGAATCATCTCATTTTGCGAAAAAGAGGGTTATTCAAAATCGGCGATTTTGCCCTACTCTTGGATTTTGCCCAGAGTTGGCTGTGTTGTTCCCTATCACAAGACACACCTTTTTCCGACATTGGCTGGTTCACCCGAATTTTTTCCCGCGCGCTACAGCGTTGCCAAGTTAAAAACAGGCAAATTCCTTAAGTGGCATTAAAATTGAGCTATGAAGTTGCGGTTTTAACGAAAATTCTCTAAAAATTGCGTACTTTTAGGAAATGACCATGTTTTTAATGTCGCATTAATTTTAACATGCATTGTTGCCAAATTTTCGATTTTTAAATCCGACAAATTTTACAAATCCGCAAATACCCCAAAAAGCTATCTTCAAATTTGAATGAAAAATTGTTTAATCGATAGTTCGTTTGATTCCGCATCCATCGATATATTATAGCTCGCAAGGAAACTGTCCACTAACGGGGAGCGTTACAGACCGTAATCAACTGCTCCGATCGGCTTATCAAACGGCAATCGTGTACAAATTAACATGGGAATCATCAAAGGCGAATTGAGGTGCGATTGAGATTTACAGATTGGAAGGTTTGCACTACCTATAAGTAATTCTCTCATTAACTGGAGTCGTTACTACAACGAAACAGGTAAATACTTTTTTACCCATTTCTCTATAGAATGTGCATTTTAAAGTAAAAAATTATCATTCTTTTCTAATTTATCACTCAAAAATTTTTCACAGAATGTTTCATTACCACAAGTTTTGAAAGTATTCCTGTTTCTCACTATTTTCGGCCACATAATTAGTAAATATTTATGACTAACCATAATGGAAGGGACTTTAATATTAAAAAACTCAGTATTTAGTTGTTGATCATACCCAGTCAATGGTATCTGAAAAGATTGCAGAAACGTTGTTGCAATGTTACTTGAATCAGTGAGTTCGAAAACACACCAAATGGGAAAAGTAAAAATGTTCAGGAAACACCTAAAACTGCGCAGCGGGCGAAGAAGTTAGTTTAGGAAAAACCTTTTTGGTGCCAAAGGGCAAGTACTTAGAGACTTTGTAAAGCACCAAGTTGAAATCGATACACCAAGTTTGATGACAGAGAATTAAGCGTTTAAAAATTTCCGAGTTGGTGTGTTTTCGTTCTCGCCGACTTTCAGATACTGATTTTTCATAGTCTGCCCTGAAAAATTTATATTTTTCGACCTGAATAACTCTTGGATATTTATTTAACTTGTTGGTACAAAGTAAATTGAACCGAAAAAAGAAAACCGCAAAATCGGATGGTCACCCGTTTCCCTTGAAATGGCCAAAAATTGTTATTTCCAATGAAATACTTCGATCCTTCGCTTTTCCCGTCGCTGTTTCGAGCATTACCGATTGCAATTTCGAAATTTCCTTTTGCGTGCAGATGCTTCTATCCATAAGTGTTACTAAACCGTAAAAAAGTTGTATTTATTTTTGTAATTACACATAAAGAATTATTAAGTCCATTTTTAGACCTTACGGGTCAAATTTTTTCAATTTTTTCAAACTTATTAAACTTTTTTCAACTTTAAAAATTTTTTCTTAAATTTATTACAATAGAATAGTGGTAAACACTGCTTTATAGATAGGGGTACTTATGAGGAGAGATGATGGTGGATGGATGAAGGAAGATGAAGTGAAAGTACAAATCTTGTAAAAAGCGGGAGAAAACTATCTAATACTAATTATAACAATTCCTAGAACTAAATGCCTGGTGAATCTTTTTATTAACAGTGCTTTCGCCCTGTCAGTCGACTGAGTCGACTAAGACTGTGGGGGGCCAGAGGCACGAGCCTAACATCGACGGAAATGAGCCGTGCTCAGCTCATAAGGTTTGCGTCTTTTTAGCCTCCGGGTATCGGACCCCCAGTCCAAAAGCGCTGTCACCTCGGGGTTGGGATGCCCGCTTAGTCGCTCTTCATAGTTATTGTACAGTCGAGAGATGTACATATTCATTTCTTCTATTCCGAGTTCATCTCTAATATCGATGTTACGCTCGTACCACCTGGCCCCTGTCATTTGCACGAGAATCTTGTTTTGGACTATTTCGATAATTTTTAGGTTCGAACTGGCGGCGCGGTGCACACCCAAATCTGAGAGCCGTAGGCCCAGATTGGCTTTAACATGGACTTGTAAACGAGAACTTTATTTTTTAACTTTAATTGAGAATGCTTCCCAAGAAGCCATAGCATTTGTCTGTGCTTCAGATCGATCTGCTTTTTTTTATTTAGGATGTGTTCTTTCCATTTTAATTTGCAGTCCATGGTAAGGAGCCTTCTGTGCATGGGGAATGGCAATTTTGATTAAAATTACTGGGATATGAACATATGGTCTCAGAGTGAAAACCACATTGACTGATTTAGTGGCGTTGAGCGCTGTACGGTCACGCTCAGTCCAGTCCTGGATGTCGTCCAGACACTCTTGGATGTTAATAACTGTTTCTTCATATGCAGTGAAAAAAGAGTTTGAGGCGCAGGACGAGAATATCGTGCGGGGCACCAGAATTTTATAGTCAGAAAATGACGTCACGTACTGGTTTATGCCGCGCACCAAACGAGTTTGGTAGGCGGCGCGATTCTTCTCGTTCACACCCTCATCCGCGGCAAATCATTCCGAGCTGTTTTGAAAATGTGCGTTTATGTATCAAATGTTTTATTAAGGTTTTGGGCACATTTTTCGGGTGCGTCGATTTAAAAGTTCCCGCTTTAATTTAAATGATTATTCTCTTTTCCCGCTTCTTGGGTTAATAGTACTGCTCTCTTTAATAATTGATGTTTTTGCTGTGAACAGTAGGTATGGCAGGTTGTTGTTGGTTTGGTTTGTTATCAGTGTCTTCGTCATCAAAAGATGCCAATATTCTTTCTTGTATCTCTTTGACTTTAAACATTTAATTCTAATTTCACCCTATTTCATGTTTACTATAGTATTCAACAGTTTGTTACATTACTAACACATTCCTGCAACATTGCTGTTTCCTAACATCGTGTCTTATGTGTGGAAAACCGCGATCGTACCAAACCGAAGTTCCGGCCATTACCAAGTTCATATCACCCAGATCCCTCACAATACATAATATCGGTAGTTTTTAGCAAGTTTATTCGTTGAATATAATTCGATCAAGGATATATTCATCTTGAACATTTTATTCGAACCTAATTGGTTTTGTGGTGCCGTGAAGTTTTGGAGCTACTCTAGCTCCTAAGTACACTTGCCCACAATGTCGACCAAGACCTTAATCTCTCCGATTGTTTGTTTTCAAAGTAAGATTACTTTGTGCTTTTTCCATTTCCTAGTTGTCTAGAAGTTTTCATTTTATAATCTTTTTAAACGACATTTTACTTCGCTTTTCCCTCGTCCACCCTTGAGAATGTTAAATACCTGGGCAAGATGTTGATGGATTCATGATGCGCTACATTGCCTGGGTACCATGATTTACTTGATAATTTTCCTATTTCATCTAAAACTCTCTTACACCCATGAAAATTCAATGTTTTGTGCGTAGAATTACAGAGGGATACATATCAATGCACCAAAATCTATGCTCAACCGGAGAAATTCTTTAAACGCTTTTCTTCTAAGATTTGAGATTTACTGAGCGACTGCGCAAAACAGTTTCAAGGCTAATAAGGATACTTATTCCTCTCTCTATTAATTGTTAATTAGTAAATAGAAACTGTCGGTCTTGGCTTTAGATTGAATGATGAAAAATACCACCCTTACTCACCATCTTGTGCCCTTGAGGAACATTTTAAATGGTTACCTTATCAATACCTATTCATTACCTACTTTAACGCTCCAAGTAATCGCTTACAACTAGCTTCTATTCGGTACCCGGTGATTTTTGTGATTTCCTATTACTCGAAAGTTCTTGATCAATGATTGCTAAATGGCTAGTGTAAAACATCAGGTTGACAGCTTTTCTCTTGTGAGTTAGAGTTAGCATTACTCACAATCAGTGATTCTTATGTTTTCCTTATTCATCCTTCATATCCACCGTGCTCATGAACATAGGAATTTTTAAAACCACAACCCTGGTAAAAATGTTACATGCGAATTCGCATGTAAATCAAGTGATTTCCATGCGAGACGCATGGAAATCAATTGGTTTCCATGCAAGTTGCATGGAAATGATTTGATTTCCATGCACCGGAGAGCTCAAGTGATTTCCATGCAGTCTGGATGGAAATGTAATGATTTCCATGCACCAGAGAGCTCAAGTGATTTCCACGCGGCAGGGAAACGTCATCATTTCCATGCAGTCTGGATGGAAATGTAATGATTTTCATGCAACATGCATGGAAATTTTACTTTTGCCATGCCATGGGCATGGAATCGTTAGGTACCACCGGTATTTGAGCAGCTTGTTAACGAAGTCATTGTAATTAATGCACCTCGGAAAAAACAGAAACACCAAAATTCTACATGAATGGTTGTCCACTTTTTTTTCTTCTTTCTTCTACTGTAATTAATGCATCGCGGAAAAAAACAGAAACATCAATATTCGACATGCATGGTTGTTCTTTCCACAAATACGAAAGAGCCTGAAACCATCTTTGTTTAAAATTAGAATTTACAATGGTCACACACACATATACATATGCAGAGATGCAAAATTTCAGAGCACCTGCAGAGCTGAAATTTCATGACATTCTTTGAAGCTTTTGCACAGAATATCAAGAAGTATGTTGTTAAACGCACGAAAATGATAAAAACTCAAGTTTTGAGATTAAAAAAAAAAAAAAAAAAAAAAAAAAAAAAAAAAAAAAAACACACGAGTAATAGATGAATTTTTGATCAATATAATATTGGATGTTTTTTGCGGGTTGCATACGCAGCCCCTGGATAAAGAGTCTGTGAAATCTCATAAAAAGTGAGACTTCATTTTGCATATCTTCGCGGCTCACTAGAGGCTCAAAAGGTTCATGAAAATTCGTGGAATTACATAGCATGTTTGAAACTTCCTATGTTAGATGACCAAGAAGGTCATGAAACGTCTAGAGATAATTGAAATTAATTTTTTTTCTTTCTTTTTTTTTCCATTATGCCTCAGGCTAAGATTTAATTACAGCATACCGACGGTGAAACTGCCACACCAGTCAGATAGCACCCAATGTTCTGAGAATATTCTGACAATGTTCCGACATTTTGAGCAGCATTCGGATATTTAGAGAATATTCTGGATCAGCAGCTAAACTCAGAATATTCTCAGAATGTTCATCATTTTCCACCACGCATGTGTAAGAGAAACCTCCACCTAAATATGCATCCTGCGAGGTAACAAAGGATGACATATGTCATGCAAGCATGCTCAATAAAATAGAAAATGAACATAAAACACTCACCAACTTGCTCGAATCTGTAATCGACCAGGTCAGGAAAATCCACTTGACAATGATGAATCCAAATTTCCAATTAGAACTGGTATAAGTACGGCGGAACACTTAAAAACATTATGGGTGCATTGTAAAACAATCTTAGGCACTCTCTAACGCAAGAGAAAAATTAGCACCATGATTTAATAGCTGATCAAAACAGAACAGCACTCTCAGAAAAGCACTGACACAACACCATTTTTCAGTTTATTTTTACTTAGAGGAGAAAACTGCATTTTTC